CTGTTGTGAGAAATTCTTTTGACAGTTTATATCAACTAATTCAAATTATTTATGGAACAGACTGCTATGATGTAAAGGATGTATGTATGTATGTATGATTTGAACAGGCTGTCTATTTTAAGTGATATGTTTATATACACTGAGAATACAATGTGCAAATATGCAGTTACCATTAAATTTATGAAATATCAATGTTAACTTCTCTATGTATAGATACATCATGATTCCAGCAAACAGAGGGAAAGACAGTAAGGAGCGAGGAATGGCCTTGAAAGGCACTGGAGGGTCAGGTAAGTTGGGTAATTAGGAGAAAAATTAGAACCACCATGCACTAGGTACTGTAATGTTAAAGAGAATTGGTACATGGGGTTGGTTTGTGTGGACTGTTCTGCTCAATAACATTGACATGAATGAGCCACACAAGGATTCCACCCAGGAAATAATGATAAGAGGAGAAAAAGACAAGTGGAGATTAGCTTATATATATTGGACCCTTGCAAAGCAAATTGTTAAACTTATATAATTGTTTTTATTTAATTTGTTGTTTGTCCTGTTTGCTTTTTGTTCATAGCCTTGACTTGTCATTTGTGTTTTGTAGTATTTCTCACTCAAGGCAAGTTTCTTTTTCTCATTTTTGTTTTCTTTTTTGCCCCATTGCAGGAATAATAAGTTTCCTCAAGCAGGTTCGAAATGAAACTGCTAGCGCTATTAGTAGTAATAACAACATTGACAAACATTCATCACAAGATTCACAGAAACAAGTTAATGGAATTTCCAATGGTATACATTAATTAAAAACACACTTGTTTTACAGAACCAATCTTATCTCCTGAGGCCCAGGCTCTATGATCAGTACCTGACTCGGTGTGGTCTGGTTATTATTTCAATATAATTATTCAATTTTAATTGTAGACATCAGTCAGCTGAACAACCCTGCACCCTCAATTCTCATAAGCGGCCTCCTACAGTAAGCAATCACTTTTGCAAAAACAAAGAAAATTTCCTGTCAGATCACAACCTCTTGTCAGACTGACCACTCACAGGTAAGTCCTGTGAGGGCTGATGGTTTGGCCACTTGTCAAATGGTCCGATTACACTGTGGGAAAAACTTAAATATAACAATACTGCATGTGAATATTCTTATTTATTGGGGGAAAAATTGTTATTTTTAATATCTGATGCTCATTAGGTACCATGTAACATACTTCAGTATTATTTTATTCTGGCACTTGTGGTCTAGTATGACATTGTTAATATTGTAAAATTTTAATTAGCTCGTCACTCTTAATTTTGGAAACTTTAGTATGCTTTGAAAGTTCTTCCAACAATCAC